TCTGGGTATGATATAACACTTTGCACCTGGTAAAGCCTGCTATTAATTAATTACGAACTAGCTATATAAAGAATAAACTCCACAGTTCAGACATACCCTCCCTCTCTGTCCTGCTGCCATGGAACCAGATCCACACCTCCCTAAGGAACTTGGAATAACTGGAATCACAGGAAAAGTAAACAACTTTGATAATCAAATACAACTTGATACAGGGACTTCCTGTGGACCACAGATGCCAGTGGACATTTTAAGGTGCCTGAATTGCAAAGGATCGGCAGCTGACCACAATGAACTGATAGTCTGGTCTCTAGATGTCAAACAGCTCACTGGGAGTTAGTAGCTCGAATGAGAAATCTCTGGTGACACCTAAATCCAAACCATTGACACCTTCTCACAAGACCTGATGATGGCAGTGCTGGCTGCTTGGGCAGCTCTCCAGAAATGCTGTTTGGGTCTTGGGAAATCTCATAGGGAGTTCTTATCATTACTGTATATCAGACAGACAGCTTGCCAGAAATCATCTTCCCACCCCTGCCTAATCACTCCTGAGTCTGCGCTCACCTCACCACAAGTATCTCAACCAGGGGCAAACCAGAAGCCTGGAGGCAGCCCCAAGCTCCTGCTCTTCCCCTGCAGGTTGGTTGGAAAGGAGCAGGACATCTGAGCAGCATCCAGATGCCACAGCAACTGAAAAATGTTAGAGAGGCACAGGGTGGGTGTTCCCAAGGCTGTCACCCTCTAGCTGAACAGACTGCAGCAGAGCCAGAGAAGCCACTCCAGAGTTGATATTCAGGTAGGTTAGCAGTGACCACAGCGATCTGGAAACTCAGCAGGTCCCCACTGCTGCTCCTTGTGGCCTATTGTCTGTCATCAGCATTGCAGGTGCAATTGGCTCTCCATCTCCTTTTGCACCCACAGTGGTTCCCTTGCAAGTTTTCTGATGTGGCAGCTTTAGAACCGAAGCCCTTTCTCCTGTGAGGATCAGACTGGAGCTGATATAATGCTTCATGATGGCTGATGTATGCGACTATACTATGCACTTCTTAAAGATAAGTCCAAGTGTGGCTGCCTTCCTGACAGCAAAGGACAGCATGTTTCAAGGAAGCCGCCAAGGCAGCGCTTTCCCCTTAAGCAAAAATTAAATCAAATAGCGGCGTAACGCCTAAGGTAAAGTATTATTCCATTCCGCTTTCCAGATTCTCTGACCCAGGCCCTTAACAACATCACAGCTACTAAACAAAGACAGTTGTTCAAATAATTATGAGCACTGCATAAAGGGGCTAATCTCTTTAGTCTTGAAGTGTCTGTGATTTATAATGTCAGACTTTTATTTTCAATATTTTTATTGAAAGGCTGAAAACACAAGTCTATATTCTGTCTAGGAAACCTGCAGCCACCTTCCCAGGTCAGCTCACTTTGACAGTGCAGCACTTCCCCCTACTGGACAGAATCATGTAGCCGCTGCAGAGGGAAATACGGGTACCAGCTAGCAAAGCTATCTCTCTGGCTTTCATATAAGGTGGGAGAATTAAGACCTGTAGGAAAATGGGGAAGGGGAATTCTGACATTCACAGGCTCCCTGCATCTCTTAGGGAAGAGGTGTCACTACTCTGAGTAACAAAAATACAACAATTAAATCCCTCCCCCAAGAGAAGTCAGGAATGTAGGCGAGATGACAGTGCCCCTCATTAACTCTTCCTGCAGCGAACCCCCAAAACTTGTGCAGTCTGTCACTCTCAGCTACTGCCCCCCCTCCTGTACTATGCAGAATCACTGCAGACTTTCCTGATGCCTCAGCACAATTCCAGCTGGCAGATAAACCCAGACGTCTTGTCTCTGATAATACATTGTTGTAAAATTGTTCTCAGCTCTTTAGGTCACTGTGATTCTGTCACATCTCAACACCCCACAGCAAACATCTCAGCAGGCACCTGAAGTCATTCCCTGTCTACAGCGGTGGTGTGTGAGTGGTAAGTGCAGTCCTCTTCTTGTGCGATTTCTCTCCTATGCGCAGAAGCTCTGCCTTGTCCACACGCCGCATTCCCTGCGGGTCTCTCGCACACGGTGCTGCTCCCATGCACCCCAGATTGTCTGGGCCCTTTAACAGCATGTGGCTGTAGCAATGAGGTCACATGGTCTGGTTCGTCTCCTTGTCAGCTCTCTCCTGTTCTCCGCGCTGCTCACCAGCAGCTCTCCCTGCATTGTACACTCAAGATCAGCCTGACAAGAGTGCCCAGAAACCTCACGCCTCCAGGTGCCCCAAACCACCAGAGCAATATCCTGTCTGAGCTCCAACACAGCCAGCAACCCAACCTGTGCCCAGCAGCCTCCCGTCACAGCCTGCGCCTAGGGCCCTGGGAAGCACTTTCCTACTGACTATGCCAGGCTCTTGTTGTAACACAGCATTGCGGGATGGGTGGGGAAAGGAGAGGAGGACAAGGCTTTCAGGTCTACTCAGACTCACATCATTCAATATACAGAAGCCTAAGGAAACCTGGGGTGAAAACACCCTTCACATGGCCGTGCAGTGGAGAAGCAGGCTCTGGGGATTCACTGACTCCGTCTGCACGTTGTTTAACAGCAGTAAAAGGAACTGAGAACGACCTTGTGGGGATATAACTTACATGGCTTTGCAATAGATGTGGAGTATAAATCAGGACAAGCTAGTATGGACTCAATAAGCCTCTAGTTAGAATGCTCTCTGCAGCTTTGGTCACCTCTTGTTCAGAAGGACAGAGCTGAGATTGAGACGGCAGGGCAGGGGACAGCCAGGTTTGGGCTGGAGTTCGGGGAAAGGAATCAGCCTTGGCCTCTCTCAGCCTTGAGGAAGGGAATTCTGCAGGATCTAATGAGGGTGCAGGAGGAGCATCAGAAAGGCAAGTTGCAGAAAGGCTGTGGAGCCACCTTAGAGTCAGTCCTGGAAAGTACAAGGTCAGCAGGCCGACGGGCAGGAGTTAACAGCTGCAACTGGCTAGGAGTCAGCAATTCCACGCTGGTGTACTCCAGGGCTCTGCAAACAGTAGCTATCCAACTGCACAGCCCAGGAGAGGGGTAAGAGAACATCCTCACTATGCAGGTTATCATTTATGTTTGAGGCAGCGCCTAGACCTACCCATCAGGATGGGTGTGATACAAACACAGAGTAAGGCATGGGCCCTGCTCCAAAGAGCTTATAGGCCAAATATACAAAAAGCAGGCGAAGGGAGAGCAAAGATCCCGCACACGTGCAAAGAGGCCAGGGAGTGACTAGCAAAAGGCTTCTTTATTTCAACCTTGTTTTACCCCTGGCCTGCTTGCTACGCATTCCGCATTTAACCTCGGGTGTCAATTTCATTGATCACTAACTTGAGCATTTTCAGAGTTTGAAAAGGGTTGGAAACCAGAGGCCCAGAGAGGGGACATGACTTGCCCCTGGTCACTCAGCAAGTCGCTGGTAGAGCTGGGATTAGAATCCCAGCCCCCGGACTCCTCACCCAGAGCTCAGGCACTAGCCCAAGTGGTGTCAGAGATCTGGTTAGTCTGGTAGGATTCCCTTCCACACCAATGGGTTGAATTCTCTTCGCATCCGCTCCACGCGATGCGCTCCTGCATATGACCACCGTGCCACTATGCTGCATGTGGCGCCTTTCAGATTCTTTGCATGGGATGAACTGATACCTGGAACACCCCATCACACGTACAGCATGCAACCAACCCCTCTGCATGAGACACTCCACACATCCCATACCTGCTGCATGGAACACCCTGCCACAGAGCACCCTGTCTCTGAAAAGATGCAGCAGAAATTCACAGGCTCAGAGATGGGCAGCAAAAATATTAAAAGTCCTGGAGAGGCTCTCTGATAAAAACACAACATGGGGGAAAGCTGAGGAATCTAATAAGATAGTAATAGTCAGCCCCTCTCCCGCCCCCTGCGGAGACAAGCTGCCTGGGAGTGCTCTGCGCAGAACGTTCAGTCAGTCAGAGCTCAGCAGATGTCACACTTATCAGCATCCTTAGAAAGGGATGTGGGGACCCTCCTGGGATCTCACTGAGGGAGCCAGGGCTGAATTCAACCTGCAGCTACTCCATTCTGTGGATCACCCTGTAGCCAGACTGCCCCCTTTTTCAGATCCCATCTCCTTGCCCAGCCCCTCTTCTGGTGGGTCAAGAAAAATGTTTCACTCTGCACCCAGGGGCAGGCCATTCCCATGGCCGAAGACCCACCGGCACAGACCAAGATGAGTCAAACACGTGGGAATCCTACATGGAAACCCACAGGCACAACCCCCCACCCTCAGCATTTCAGACAGCGCCCCAGCCTGGGATAAGTGAACACATTAATGCAGCTACACTAGCAGCCCCAGGTAGTGGAAAGTACAAAGAAGAGGTTGGGCAGAGGGCTCTTTTATCGCTGTATGCGGGAACATATACACTGGCAGGGTTTGGGTTCTGTCTGGTAACAAGTCACAGGAGGAGGTAACAGTGAATGGTCCTGGGCTGAGAGCCTGGGACACTGAGGCAGTCTTTATCCTAAGAATGGATACAGCATAGGCATTACCAGGGCAAGCTTCCTCACCAACATGCCACTCCCTGAGATCCCTGTCCTAGAGGGATCTCCTTGGGAGTGAGAAGAGAGTTCACTCTTTATGAAACAGTCCACCCTTGGCCTCTCTGCTAAGGCTACCAAGTGGTGAAGCTGGACATATGGACATGTCTCCCACTTGGAACTGGACTGAGATCCACCAAACTCATTTCATGTAGGGTCCACTGAACAGCCACCCATTGGAAGTACTTGCAGTCGCTATTCCTCTCCTGGATTCAATCCAGCAATGCTCCGTATTACCAACTCCCTGAGCTATCCAGTCACCCAGCTGGGCCACACTGGAACCAGGCACCCACCAGTGAAAAGTTCTGTGCTTCGTTTCCAAGCCTTGAGTTATCTAGCCTCTTCCTTTCCAAGCCCCAAAAAGTTTTGGTAAGTTGGACTCTGCAACTTTTGCCTGTACCAAGGCACTTACCCCTTCCATGGGCCCTATCAACAGGTCATAGAGCACACGTAACGGGGGTTTGGAGAAGGTGCTCTGCCTCCTGGGAAGAGAGGATGTTCCATCCTTAGCAGGACACATGGTGCTGCTGAACAGACTGGTCATGCTCTGACAGCTCCTGTGGATAGAAGGAAAGCGAGAGGTTAACTGGAAACGTGTGGAGATCTGAAGTGGATTGCCCTGGCATAACCTTAGCTGCCCAGAAGCCAGTCCCCAGGCCTGCCCAGGAAAGGCTGCTATGCCAGGAGCAGCTTTCCTCCCTGGTTTGATTATCCCATTCAGTTGCACACCACACAGAACAATGAGAGAAATCGCAGGGTGAACCAGCTGCAGACAACAGCTTACATTTCTATGGAGTTTCTCTACAGAATCAAAAGTCCCAAAGTGCTGTTCAAAGCACTTAATTACATACTTGTGTGCAGCGATTGTGTGCAGGCGAACGTGAGACCCATTAAGACTTGCCTGCAGCCGCAGGAACATTTACATTGGCGCTAGGCACCAATTAATCTGAGATGGCATCAAAAGGCAAACATGACAAAGGGAGCGCTGGGCAGACACCTGTGCTTGCTGCCCTTAGTCGGCATGGTCCCATACAGAGGAAAGCCTCCCTGAGGGAGCCCAGCTCCCTCCCCTTGGGCTGGGAGCCAGCAAGCTGCTGACTTGGAGCTACAGCCTCTGTTAGACACAGCTGCGTCCTTCAGCTGCAAGAGTGACCCTGAGAATGCCCAACATCCCCCTAAACCCAAGCGGACAACACTGGGCCCAGAGTAAGTCCTGTGCACCTACGGCCACAAGCATCACACAGCATTTCTCCGTCAGGCCCAGTCAGAGCACTGGAATCTGCCGTGAAACAGCCGCAGGACACACACACACACGCACGCACGCACGCACGCACGCAGGCTAACTAACAGCAGACCATGCATCCGATGAAGTGAGCTGTAGCTCTCGAAAGCTTATCCTCAAATAAATTGGTTAGTCTCTAAGGTGCCACAAGTCCTCCTTTTCTTTTTGTGAATACAGACTAACACGGCTGTTACTCTGAAAGCAGACCAGAGGGAATCAGGTGCTCTGGGACCCAGCCCTAGTGCCGGCAGGAGGGAGCAGACGCCAGACATGGGCGTCCCAGGGATCAGCGAGTGGCCCCTCTCACACCTGTTACCCAAGCACTTTTCAGGGGGGAGTTCAGAGCTCGGCCTCCCAACCCCAGTACTTAAGACTCCAGCCTGCCTCACTGCAGCTTCCTCCTTAAGTGAGTGCAGGACAAAAACTCACCAGAGACAAGGCTGCCGATCAATCCATGGCCCTGCAGATTCGTCTCCCGGCTGGTGTTCCATCTTTGCCACCTCATTTCGTTGCTGGGAGATACTTTGCTCCCTCCTTCCTATTCCCTGGGGGCAGCACTAACTGCTGCTTCTCCCAACCATCGCCTGCACATTTAGAGCCGCTCTCTCTGCACTAGCCGACACAGAGGTTCATTGCTGAGGTCCAGATGTGAGCACTGCTACTCCACTGTACAGTGCCCAAATGCCAGCACCCAAAGCTGTGCCCCCACAATGCCCCAGTGCCACTGCACCGAACCCTTCTCCCCAGACCTGGCCCAAGAGGGGCTGCTGAGTTGGATTCCTGCCAGCCCCTTCTACACTCAGCAAAGGGTCAGTCGCCTCTAGGGCTGTTCTGAGTTGGCTTTCTCTGAGCATGCAGTGACCTCCAGCAGGCTGCAGCCTGACACGATCCTCTGTGCCACTTAGACTCACAATCCGGGGCCATTCTCTGCTTCTCCCCAGCCTGCCAGGCTCTTTCCTGCATAACATGTACTGTAGTATTGAAAGTGAGACCCACCCCACTGTCCAACAGCTCCTGCAGTTATCCAGGCCCTAGCCATCTCCTGCCTTCTGGCCCCCAGAACTCAGCCCACCTCAGCACATCACTGTCCTACTGAGCCCTTCACCATCTTCCCTTTGTACCCTGAATCCAGTTCAAGATCCTCATCTCTGTGGCCCCCCCAACTCCACCTGGATGGCATCTCTCCTCTCCCTGGGCCTCTTCACTCCAGCTGCACTGTTCCCGCAGTGCCCTTCCCCAGCTCCCATCACTGTGGACAGAACAGCCTCCCAGCATCAGCGTGCCAGGCCCCATCCACTCCTCATCACATCCCCCTCTTGGGTGAGGTTCCCTGCCCTGGGCTGCCCTCTCCTCCCCAGTATCAGCAGAAGGAAGGAAGTGGAATTAAAAGTAACTGCCAGGGCTCCTGATGCCCAGCGGCTGGTCTGGGTGCAATAACTGGACTATGAGCTCCTTAGCGGGATGTGAGCTCTGCCTGGGCCCTTACAGCACCCAAGAAAGAACAAGAAGGATGTTTTGAACCATCAGGTCCTGGCCAGGCCAGCTGGAGTCCGAGGAAGGTGTTTAAGCCAAGCGTGCGGCTCTCCCTTCCAGGAACAGCCCAGAGCCACATCTGCCTGCGCTGGCCATCAGCACCTGCACCACCCACCTAGACCAGGGCGCCAAGCCGAGCATGAACCATCCCCTTGATGGAGTTCTGAGTGACCCCGCCCGGCGCGGCAAGTTACGACCCCAGCGAGATGCTCCCTCTCCTGCTGGCGTTCCCATGCTGCTCAGTGCTGAGACCCCGGGGCCAGACTCAACCTCCCCTGCACACGCTGTACGGGCACAGGGCCCCTCCGCCAAACGACCCCTCCCCCCACGTGCTGCTTGGGCACAGGGCCCCTCTGCAGAACAACCCCCTCACATCCCCCACCCACTGTACGGGCACATGGCCCCTCCGCCAACCCCCTCCTCCCACGTGCACACAGCCCCTCTGCCAAACAACCTCCCCACCCCCACATGCTGTACGGGCACATGGCCCCTCTGCCAAACAACCCCCTTCCCCCCCCCATGCTGCATGGGCACACGGCCCTCTGCCAAACAACCCTCCCACCCCCACATGTGCTGCATGGGCACACGGCCCCTCCACCAAACAACCCCCCCGCCCATTCCCAGGGCTGCATGTTTCTATTCCTTGTGCTGAATGTCCCCATTTCTCTGTGCAGGTCACACACACCCACAGTGCTATCAACAGATGACAGAGACAAAAGCCAGAAGTGGGAAGTACTCAGAAACCCAGGAAATCAAAGCCAAAGTAAGTTCCTAATGGTCAGGCCAATCAATCCAGTGAAATACATTAACAAAGCCTCTGTTATTAGCATAGATTTTTCTTAGCAGATTATATACCCTGCCAAGGGTAAACCATGCATCCTTGGTGTGTCTTTACACTTACACACTAGGCTAGTATGCCGGTGAAGCCACAGAATCAACACATTACACTCCTTCTGCTCCTGAGAAACACCCTCTCATCTCATTGACTGACTAACCAGAGGTGGATTACTGCATGGGCCCATGGGGCCATGACTGGGGGCCCTGGAAAAATCTCCCCCTGCTGTGGCCCCAGGTCTCTTGCTCCCCGCCGCGATTCCAGGGCCACAGCAGAGGCACAGAGTTTCTCCAGTCTTAGGGCCGCAGTGGAGTGTGGGGGAAAGGAGTGAGTGAAGGGCACGGCTGTGGGGGAAGGGGCAGAATGGGGCAGGGCTGTGGGTGAAATAGGGGTGAGACCACAGGCGGAAGGGGGTGGGGTGGGGCCACAGTTCTGGCACTGGGGGCCCCCCCAATTTGCTCCGGCCCAGGACCCCACGAGACCTTAATCCACTGCTGTGACTAACACCTCTCCCTCCCTAGCCCCCTGACTGCTGTCCTGGGGCTGGCTGCACTCCATTCATGGAAGGAAGGAAGCTGCTCAGCATTAACTGCACTTTACATTCATGGCCTAAAGGGGAGATGTTTCAAATGGCAATTAGGAGCTCTAATTTAGCACCCTAAGGCTCTCTGAGCCATTGAAAACTCCCCCTACATTTTTACGAAGATGAGAGGTCTGCTTGTGCCTGGAACTGCACATGTATGCTCAGGCATCAGGACTGTGCCTGCAAGACGCTTGACTGTGTGCACAGTTCCCCATTGCAACCACATACAACCACATACACAAATACAGATGCAAAACTGTGCACAGAACTGGGTCCTCAGCATTCTACAGAAAGATGATCTAATTCATCCTCGTAGCCCCTGAATGAGGGAGGGAGAAATTATTCCCATTTCTGAAAGGGCCTGAGCCATCTGATGGGACCTAACAGGAGCTATGCGTGTTCAGCACATCTGATAATCTGACTGAAGTGATTTGCACAAGGCTGCACAATAAGTCTGTGACAGAGCTAGGACTGGCCCCAGCCCTGTGCTCGCCCCAGTGGACCAGGTTGCTCCCTGGCTCTATTGTGCTGGCTGAGAGAGCTGATCTCCCTTCATGGAGTTTAACTGTTTTCACGCTTTGCAAAGTGCAGATTTTAAAATCAGTTCAGGAAATCCAAGTGATATTTCCCCAGCTCCACCCAGGCCTCAGCACTCCACTTCTACACCTCCACAGGACTGGGGTGTCCAATTGCTTCTTTGGGGTGGATGGTTGTAGACTAGAGGGCTGGAGTAATGTCCCAGCATTGCAGAAAGCAGCTATGTGCCAGCAGGTGGCACTATTATCCTCTCTCTCACCATTAAATAATTATAACAGACATTTATTACAGGCGGCTTGATTACTCTAATCAGCAAAGTCTCCATCTGAAAGGGTTTTGCAGCCAGGCAGCCTTGGATTTATCAGCTTACCACTCAGATGTTTTTTTATTAGGCCAAATCCAAAGGAGTAACATAAATTGTTCACTTTCTAAACCCTTGGAGCGGGAGGAGAACAAATCCACACAAGGGGAGGAAGGACAAAGCTCCTTTGTGCATGACATGTGAGATCTGGCACCTGCTGCCAACTTCCCCCTCTCTTGTGTGCACACACTCCCCCTCCCAGCAGCTCTCTGTGCCAGTGAGGCGGCCTGGCCAAGTGTCCCATTTACAGGGTCTCGGGGCTGGTTTCCTGCAGATGCTCTTGCTGTTGCCTAACAGCAGGCCTGAGCTGCAGCGTTCCTGGCCTGGCTGTGTGCTGTGTGTTCTCCCCTAATGCATGGAACAACACCTCAACCCTGCACAGTGCTGCTGATCTCACCCTTTGCTGCTGATCTCAAACCAGGCTGT